ACAAAATGAGGTTTCTGTAAGATGGTGGAATTTGTAGTACAGCCAGAGGCAAGGAGGGTTTACAGGTATTCTTGGATCCACAACTTTTTCCAAGCTATTTTACAAGTATTGCATAAAAAGTCTACTTCTGCTTTCTAAACATCTTTAGAACAGATTTTAAAAAAGTTTCTGTCTTAAGTGGTTGGGTTTATGTAATTCTAGCTGCTATAGCTACAGTAACAGCAAGCAGTGAATTAAGGTGATAAATGCCTTACATGTATTCAGAGGTCTTCCTTTTTGTCTTTGCAGGTGACTACTTCAAAGGATGAATTTCTATTCTGAAGACAGTGTTCACAAAGAACATACATGTCAGTTGCTAGCTGAAATTTTAAAATGAAATTACAAGATGCAAGTGATGAATAAGATCTGAATCAAGAGCCAGGTGTAAAAGCACATAATGATTACTCAGGACTGTAAATCTTAGGCTTAGGACTTAAATCTTAAGTCATCAGCTGTTACTTTTTTTCTGATTACACAGAGAAATTGCAAACCAGCCACAGGTATCATTATTAGTCATCAGCGATAAAAAAATAAGAGAAATAACACAACAGCAACCATACTATAAGTACACAAGAAATAGTGATGGATGTCTCCTGATTGTATGCTTAAAGCACCCTGTCAAATAGGCTAGTTTAAAGGCAACCATTACTGAACCTAGCCAAGTAGTGTATACTAGTATATACTGTATACTGTGCAGGTGCAGTATACAGTAATATGTATATATATATATATATATATATATATTTATATATATATATATCAATTTTTTTAGTGTGTGTGTATATATATATATATATATATATATATATATATACAGTATATATATATAATATGAGTCACAAAGAAATCCTCATAAAAACAGCACTTCACTCCATATGATCATAGCAATAGACCAACCCATGATGAATCGTCAGCTAATGAAAAGGAATTTGAGATTTCAGAATTTATTACATGTGAGATCACACATGTGATCTATGCCTTGGAGTGCACATGTGGTCTAATTTATATTGGTCGAGGCTAAATGACATCTTAAGAAAAAAATAAGTGAGCATCTTCATATTATTTCGATAGGGTAAAAATATCATAGCGTATCTATGCATTTTAGGAAATATCATAACAAGGAGCCCTCTGGTTTGAAATTTTGGGGTATAGACACTATTCCCTATTCATGGAGGGGGTCAAATAGGGTGAGAGAACTATCTAAAAGGGAGACAAAGTGGATTTATATGACTGACTCTTTAGTGCCTAAAGGTTTAAAATGTTGAGATTGATATAAATTGCTTTATAAGTGATTATTAATGTTTGTTCATCTTCTAACTTTTGGAAAAGATACATGTGATTTGTTAAGGGGATACTGTGTGCTTTTTAGTATGACTCATATATGTTGTAAAATTTGTGTATAAATGTAATTCATGAATATGATTTTTTATGGCTATAATGATGGAAGAGATGGTAGTTTTTATCCAAGCTGATTTATGCCTATCCACTAGAGGGCAGCTGTACATTTGAATAAATTAGTAATTATTAAATGGTTAAAAAATTGGGCTATAATACACCGCCTCTTGCAATGTATGGTCACACCCTCGGAGGAAGTCGTAAGGACGAAACACGTCAGAGCGTGACCATACGTGACGTCAGCATGTTCACCGGATGTGATGTCTCTCCTACCCGGAAGTGGAACAGCGGGCTGTGCACGGTAGCATGGTGAGATGCCAGCGGTTCAATGCAAGCAGAGACCAATGCTTTATCAATATACTTGATGTGAATTGTATTTATTTCCATGTGAGTGTTATTTTATAGGGGTTATTGTGCAATAAAATTTGGAAACAGAATTATGCTATGTGATGCATTTGTGCTTTATATTTTTGTACTGGAGCTATCAGATCTTTTTGAGTGGTGGAGATTGCGTGTCCAAGAGAAGGATATTATTGTTGTGCCTAATTAACACCATGCTCTGGTGAATGTTTAGTTTGATGGGGCGATTGTCACCTAAAGAACATGGTGGTGCTGGAGTGAATTTATCAATTACTGAGACTTTCCCTATAAGAGATCTATGTGGTGGACTTTATCCTTTTTTTCACTCTGCTACACCTTGGTGGAAGATACTTCATTTATTATAAATTAACAATTCATTTTTTATTTTCATTTTTTTATTTATATTTATATTATCATGTGTTGGTCTATTGCTATGATCAAATGGAGTGAAGCGCTGTTTTTATGAGAATTTCTTTGTGATTCATATTAATAATCTTTTTTTGTCATATTGAAAAAACAGCAGCTCATTGGTTATATTTTATTATAATTGTTTATTTTGGTTCAGCGCGTAGTTTGTACATTCATACGAGTGTCACTTATACTTTAAAATGTGCTCCTACCAACAATATTATTAAGTCAAAATGCATGAAACACCAAGCAATTAAGTCTTTTGATGACAAAATCCTGATTATGATCAACAGCTGTGTCCACAATAATCCTCCACGTGTAGTGAAATATAGACTCTCGTGCCCACCACCACAAAAAAGACACTGCTCGTTACTGAATAGTTAAACCCTAGATTATAGGTGGTCAAACAGAGCATGATGCTGAACATATTATTATTATTATACAGTATTTATATAGCGCCAAATGTTTGCTCAGCGCTGTACATTACAATGGGAGACAATACATGAGACAGTATAATAACAATACAATAAACGAGGGGTTCGAGGGCCCTGCTCCTTGAAGCTTACAATCTAGGAGGGAGGGGATAGTGGTACAGGAGGAAATGGCTGTGGGGGATGGAGTGGTAGGAGGAGTGGAGGAGATCGGCAGGGAGGGGATAGTGGTACAGGAGGAAATGGCTGTGGGGGATGGAGTGATAGGAGGAGTGGAGGAGATCGGCAGTTAGGTGAGGGCGGGGTAGGCTTCCCTGAAGAGATGGGTTTTCAGGGTACGCCTAAAGGTGAGGAGGGTAGGTGACAGTCTGATGGATTGGGGGTAGTGAGTTCCAGAGGATGGGGGAAGCCATGGGGAAGTCCTGGAGATGGGCATGGGAGGAGGAGACCAGGGAGCTAGAGAGTAGGAGGTCTTGTGAGGAGCGAAGAGTACGTGTTGGGTGGTATTTGGATATCAGGTCAGTGATGTAGTTTGCGGAAGTATTATGGATAGCTTTGTACGTCAATTTTAGCAATTGGAATTTTATGCGTTGGGCAATTGGAAGCCAGTGGAGGGAATGGCAGAGGGGGGTGGCGGATACGGAGCGGTTGGTAAGGTGGATGAGTCTGGCCGCAGAGTTCAGGATAGACTGAAGCGGGGATAGCCTGTGACGAGGTAAGCCGGTGAGGAGGGAGTTACAGTATTCAAGACGTGAATGAGCTGCTTAGTAGTTTCTGGGGTTAGGAACGAACGTATTTTGAAGATGTTGCGGAGGTGGAGCCTGCATGAATTTGCCAGCAATTGGACATGGGGCTGGAAGGACAGATTGGAGTCTAGAGTGACACCTAGAACTTTGGCTTGCGGGGTGGGACTGATGGTGTTCTTGGTGGTCGTGATAGAGAGGTTGGGGGGGGGTGCGGGCTGGGGGGAAAACTAGGAGCTCAGTTTTGGGAAGGTTTAATTTGAGGATTTGAGGAAGTGGAGTGACATCCAATCTGATATGTTATTCAGTAGGCAAGTGATTTGGGCAGATACTGCAGGGGTGAGGGGAGGGGTAGAGAGATAGATTTGCGTGTCATCGGCGTAGAGATGGTAATTGAAGCCGTGGGAGTGTATCAGCTGGCCAAGGGAGGAGGTGTAGATGGAGAAGAGAAGGGGCCCGAGGACAGAGCCTTGAGGGACCACAACAGAGAGGGGGAGAGAGGGGGAGGTGGCAGCATTATAGGTAACACTGAAGGAGCGCTGGGATAGATAGGAAGAGAGCCAGGAGAGAGCGGAGTCTCTGAGGCCATGAGAGTATAGTTTTTTAAGGAGGAGGGGGTGGTCAACCGTGTCGAAGGCCGCAGAGAGGTCGAGCAGTAGGAGCACTGAGTAGTGGCCATTAGCTTTGGCGGTTAGCAGGTCGTTGGTGAGTTTGAGTAGGGGCGGTTTCGGTGGAGTGTAGGGGACAGAAGCCAGACTGTAGGGGATCAAGGAGGTTGTTGTTGTCATTGAGGTGGGAGCTTAGGCGATTATAGACTAAGCGCTTGAGGAGTTTGGATGTAAATGGCAGCAGGGAGATGGGTCTAAGGTTGTTCAGGTCGGTGGGGTCCAGGGAGGGTTTTTTAAGTATGGGAGTGATGTGCACATGCTTTAGAGGGGAGGCGAATGCACCAGTAGAGAAGGAGAGATTGAAGATGTGAGTGAGGAAGCGTAGGACGGAGGAGGAGGGTGACCATAGGAGTTGTGTGCGGACAGGGTCAAGGGGGCAGGCGGTGAGGAGGGTTTCGGAGAAGACCTTAGTGACTTCTTCAGTGATAGCAAGGTCGAAGGAGTGGAGTGTTGAGGAGGTTTTAGTGTGAGGGATGTTAGGTGGGGTGGAGGTCTGGACAGTTGCGAGGTCAGAGGAGAGGAGTGTTGAGGGGGTTTTCATGTGAGGGATGCTAGGTGGGGTGGAAGTCTGAGCAGTGGCGATGTCCCTACGAATTGCGTCAGTCTTGTTTTGGAAGTGGTTAGCAATCTCGTGGGCAGTGAGTGCGGTACTGGGTGGGGGGGGGGGTGGGGAGGGGAGTAAAGAGTTAAAAATAGAGAAGAGCCGGCGACGACAGGAGGAGAGGGTATTGATGAGGGTTACAAAGTAATCTTGCTTGTAACATCCTAGATGGAAAAGAGGTGCCATAGACTTTGGTATCTCTCCTCCTGAAGCGATGTGTGCTCAGTCAAAAAGGATAATACTCCAGATAGTGTGATAATGTACAAATAATTTATTAAGGTAAATGAAAAAAACACTTACAAACTTCAAAGACAAAAGAGCATGTAGGTCATAAATGCTGGTGCCTGGTGCAGACAGCCATGGGCAGGGGCGGACTGACAACTCATGGGGCCCCCAGGCAATAGGGGATCATGGGGCCCCTGTGTGCTTGCCCAAACTCAAAAAAGCCTATGAAAAAGGTACCAGGGGCATCCCATGGGGCCCCCTACTGACCCTCAGGCAGTGCCAGAGTTTCCAAATGGTCAGTCCACCCCTGGGCGTGGGTGACGTCAGCACAATCTCCACCAAATTTATAAACTGTTTTTTTTTTGTTTTTTGTTTTTTATGAGATAAATTAAAAAAGACCACAATTTTTGAAAAAAAGCTAATTTTTTTCCTTTTTTCTATAAACATATCCAATAAAAAAATCAAATTTCTTCATAAATTTAGGCCAAAATGTATTCTTCTACATGTCTCTGATAAAAAAAAGTGCCGCTGACATCACCAGTGACATTAATACAGTGATCAGAAATAATATTATACACCATCACTGTACTAATGACATTGTAAAGTGTGTGTTGTGTGTAAAGTGTGCTGCTTTGCTTAGGCAGAGATGAGAAACTGACAGATCGCTCCCACTGTACAGAGCTCTGTGTTGATTGTAATCACAGAGCTCTGGGCTGTGATTGTACAGATCCCAGCTGTGAATAATTGGCTGGGACTTGCTGACAGACACCTGCTGTGTACAATCACAGCGGGTGCCAGTGTGGAGGACACATGGAAGTAGGCAGCAATGTACCCATATGTCACTTTGCCTACAGCGGGCACCCATCCACAGTACAATGTAGGTGGGGGCGGTCGCAAAGTGGATACTGTATATTAGTACATTTCAGTTTTGTTTTGTCTTGTTTTGCTTTGTTTTTTAAATCTCAAGCAAAACATTTATCCATTTTGGAAATAGTGAGGAAAGTTTATAATTCCTATCAGGTGTCTACTGATTTTTCATCTGGTTTGTGGGCCTGGCATTGGGCTGCTGGCTGGGTTTTGGCCTTCAGTCATAGATCCTGCATCTACTGATATTGAGTCCAGGTATAAGTCCAAACACCTGTTCTCTATTACCCATTGCTACTGTCAATGCTCTGAGTTTGATTTCATGGCATCCTTTGCTTACTATGATTTATCCTCAGTCTGTCTGACCAACTGCACACTTTCATCCTCTCCATGTTTTTAGATTGGTGGCCCAGAGCCAGTTTTTGAGAGTCAAAAAAATTAGTGTTTGAAGTAATTTTGAAATATGCCTACAACAATTTATAGGCAAATTGTAAGAAAGAATAGGGGAAAAACAGGGTGTTTTTAAATATAGTAATCTGAACAGAATTCCAGTTTTATGCAATACTATCCTATGAGCATAAAAGCCTTTTCATTTCTTAAGAAATATTGGCAGCAATTAGCACAAGCATACTCTAACATTGCTGATTTACATTTCTCTGACATTTCCAGAGTCCTCATGCAGGCTTTTTGTCTTCATAGTTCTATTAGAGATACACTAGTTTAATCTGACTTCAGAATACACACGATGATCACTGTTTGTTATGTATTCAATGTCTCCTTATAGAGAAGGGGAAGCAGTTTAGACCAGGGGTATTGAATTAAAATTCAAGGAGGTCCAGTCACTAAAATTGTTCTTCTGTCCGAGGTCCGATTCTCATGTTTGTGCTATGACTGAGAGTGTAGTCATTTAGGGGTTTATTTACTAAACCTGGTTGACTCAGAATCTTGGGCACCTGTGCATGGTAGCCAATCAGCTTCTAACCTCAGCATGTTCAGTTAAGCTTCAGCAATAAAACCTGGAAGCTGATTGGTTTTTATGCAGAAGTGGACAAGATTCTGAGTCAACCAGGTTTAGTAAATAAACCCCTTAATGTCTATAAAAAATTAGAAATGTAAAGGAAGGAAGTAACAGGTGGGTGGAAGGAAGGGGTGGGTGAAATGAAGGAAGGAAGGGGTGCAAGTAAAGAAGGGGTGGGTGGAAGAAAGGAAGGAAGGGTGGATGGAAGGAAAGGGTGGGTGGAAGGCAGGAAGGAAGGGGTGGGTGCAAGGAAGGAAGGGAGGGGTGGGTTGAAAAATGGAAGGGAGGGGTTGGTAGAAGGGAGTGAGGGGTTGGTGGAAGGGAGAGAGGTATGGGTGGAAGGAAGGGAGGAAGGGGTGGAAGGAAATAAGGGAGGAAGGGAGGGGTGGAAGGAAGGAAGGAAGGAAGGGAGGGGTGGGCAGAAGAAAGGGAGGGGTGAAAGGGAAAGGAAAGGAGGGGTGGGTGGGTGGAAGGTAGGTTGGACTCGCGTGACTCATTCAGATGCATCAGAGCTGTCAGCTGCTGTGTTTAGTTTCCCGTCCACATCTCCTCTGAAGCTGCATGGACTGGAGTGTGGGCAGGTACAGGGGGAGGCATAGCAGATTCAGCCTCTCTTCCCTCTTCTCCTATTGGTGCAGAGGATGGAGGGAGGGGCAGGGTATTGAGAAGAGCACAGCAGCAGTGGGAGGGAGAGGGGGCGGGGGGGGAGAAAGAAAACTGAGCTGTCAGGTATGTTTTTTGCAGAGGTGGGGGCGGTGACAAGCAGCGAACTCCTGTATAACTTTCAGTGAAGCAGCTGGAAGCCTCTTCTCCTCTTCTCCCTCCCCACAGCTTCCAGCTGCTTGATTGAAAGCCATAGAGGAGATCGCTACTTGTCACTGCCTCCACCTACACCTCCCACACACCCCTAGTCCCTGCACTGCTCGCCGCCCCCACCTTATTTCCACTCATGGGCGAGTGGAAATTTCAAGGGCTGCAGGGATGGTTGGCAACTCTCCTCTGGGGCGTTCAGACCCCCCTTACTTCCCCCTAATCTACGCCCCTGCTACAAGGGGCAGGACACACACTGTCATGTCATGTTGCTCAGCGGTGGATCTCTCATTGTGGGTTGGCGGTCCGGAAGGGAGCACTGCTGGGTCCATTCTCAGACCGCAGTCCGCCATTTAGTGACCACTGGTTTAGACATAATGGCACAGGTTTTTGCTGCCAAATCAAAAAATATGATACATGCCAATTCTCTTATGTTGTTTATATGTTAACCTATCCTTGTAATCGAATTTAGAATCCACTCAAAAGCTAAAGATAGAATTGCTCAGCATAGACACTCAATTCAATAGAAAAGAATCCAGTTTTACCAGTACCTAAACAAAGACATACAGAAACAAATCTCTGTTTCATGATTTTGGATGAAGTATCTAATTAAAGGGAAGGAGATAGCATCCTTATGCACTTTAAAAAAAATGAGGTGAGGTGTAAAATATGATTAAATAGAACTTTACCCACAGCAAACTTATAAATAATAATGTTATTTAGCAAGGACAGTGCACATTAATAATTATGCTACCAAACTTAGTGTGTGCTGTAAATTGCCTCCAGCATTGTTCCTATTTCTTCTTGCCAGAGGCTGCCATTTTTCAGAAGCCCAGAGTCCTGAGCAGCAGTAAATCTCTAGGCTGTCAGCAGATCAACCTCTACAAATTTGGCACACTGCCAAAAAATAGAGAGCAAATGACCATGTGCAGAGCAGGGTGAGATAGTGTACTGGATTTTAAAACAGTATAGGCACTTATGTTTAATGCTTTACATAGCTATACCTGGAAAAGGGGCAAGCATGAAGTGATCCAGCAGGACTTAATTTTCTGACTAAAGTTCCACTTTAAGGTCATTATACCCTGAAGGATTAAATAGAGATTACAATATCAATTTATTTTTGTGACAGTGATCATTTATGTATTTTACTTTAGAAACTTACACACTAGCTGCAGGATGACTCCTGGAATACAATGTTCCTTTTGATTCTTCTGTTGCGACAATCATATATATATACATAACACTATCAAGATTGATATGTTTTACTACATTGGATCTATGTGTATGGGTGAAGGTCTGACGTTCGTGGTTCAGTGTCTACTTTGTACATTGTATAGAAGTTATGTTCCTGAAATCCATTCATACAATTGAATTCATTAGGAATAGGTGACTGTGTTACTTTGATGACATGATTTTCTATTTGTAATTGCAATTGATGAGATACCCTGTTCAGTTTAATTAATTCTGGCAGCAAGGTAAATCTGAATATCACATACTGTACACGGTTACTAAACAAAAATTGGTATCCCATAACTACACATTCCCAGGGAAAACCATGTACAATGACATTTGGTCATGTTAGCGAACATCATCCATTCTATAAGGAACATGGCATTTTTACTAAATAACCATACCAACAAATTGTCAATTTAAAAAAAAAAAAAGAACAGAAATGTATTGCAACCAGTCATTAGATGTGGTAGATGCATTAATAATATTTTACCTTAATAAGAACACTTTTAGCAAGGACAGAAAATACCTGTTAAGCCTAGTACACATGATGATCAGAAAATCATATGAAAAATACTGCTTTTGAAGCGGTCTTACAATAATCTGATTGTTAGTACACAGCTTTCGTTCAAAATCATTTGAAAGAAGAAGCAAGAAAATTTTTTCTTGTACTATACCAGATCACACAAGTTTCGTTTAATCAGTACAGTTTTATATATAAATAGTAATAAATATATTACATGACATAACTTCCCCATTTTTATTTGGTCGTACAAGAATTTTTGTAACTTGAGAAACCTTTTCATATTTTCGATATGAGACTATCATGCAAAAAAAAAAAAAATGGACGACCATTAGTTCGATATTCTCATCGTGTGTACGGGGCTTTAGTCTTGCCAGAAATGCAGTGTCCTTATCACTTTCTGTAAGATTTACTGGAAGTAAAAACATTGTTAAATTTCCTGTGTAAACTACTAATTCCAATAGCCAATGCAATATGCAATGATGATAAACAAAGGCAGACATGTAACATGCTTGCTCTACATTAGCACACAAGCATTAACATGTGTTATGCCTTGCATGAGTGGTGTGTTTAGGCAGCCCATTCATTTGAACTGTATGGCCAAAATCTCACAAAAATTATGCATTTTTGGCAGCACAGTGCAGCATTGCCAAGGATTATCTTAAGAAGGTTCAGAATGAAAGACAATAAATTGCACCAACATGTTTAATGCACATTACCATACATTGAGGCACTATGCACATTAATGCAGTAATGAAGTAGTATGAATGGGCTCTTGCTGTAACTTT